TGAGGTGGCTGTTCTGGGGGTGCCCCACAACCCTGCCCCCCGACATCCACCATGATCCACACCTGCAGCAAGACCTCCCTGCCCAACCATGTCGCCTGGCCCCTGTTCAACACCCTCTTCATGAACTCTTGCTGCCTGGGCTTCATAGCGTTAGCCTACTCCATGAAATCTAGGTGAGAGGGGATACCCCTCCCCATCTCCCTCCTTGCAGGCCTTCACCTCCTCCCTCCAGATGAGAAGGAGGGTAAAAAGAGATAAAATACCAAAGAGCTTGAATCCGTGGTCAGGTGACCTGCTCATGCCACTGACCAGGCCACAAAGAGACCCAAGGATGGGGAAAATGACTTCCTTTTCGATTCCCAGCATCTCCGCTACCTGTAAGCCTTGAAAGAGTTGCAAATGAATGTTATCACTACCAGCTGGAGCCCAGCACTAGGTCACATCCCCAACTTTTGCATGAACCAGGCTCCCTCCTGGAAATACCTCTGCCAACTAATAATTTACTACCTTTGTCTTGTCTCTATAAGCCCCCTCCCCTGCCTGTTCCCACCCATGCTGCATATGAATTAGCAAATCAGTGAAGCCAAAAGATTGTAAGGTCAGATGTCCAGGCAATGGACAGTGACATAGTTTCACCTCAGTTTCCCCTTTAGCATTGTAAGCCTATAGAAGGGGAAAGAAGCTGCTTCTCAGGGAGCTCAGTGAATGAGGCTTTACCTGCCCCCACCCACAGCTCCTAGGTGAATAAAAAGCCACTTCCTTTCTCAGTTCGATGTTCAAGAGGTTTGTTTCCCACCGTTCCTGCTTTACAGGGACAGGAAGGAAGATGGTTGAGAACTTGACAGGGCCCAGGCCCATGCCTCCCCGCCAAGTGCCTGAACATCTGGGTCTTGATTCTGGGCATCATCATGACCCTTCTGCTTATCATCATCCCAGTACTGATCTTGCCAGTCTATCGATAGATCAAGAGGCTTCCTCCAGGCCAGGAGCTCTGCCCATGACCTGTTTCCCACATACTCCACCTTCCATTCCTCGCCCTGTCCCCAGAGCCGAGTCCTGTATCAGCCCTTTATCCTCACACACTCTTCTGCAATGACATTCAATAAAGTGCACATCTTCCTGGTAAAAACAAACAAATAAGCAAAACCAAACAAACAAAAAAACAGAAAAAAACATGCCTGACTAGGACGGCTTCTTATGAGTTGACAGGTTTGATACAGTTTGTCTTAGCTGCTGAAGACACAGGAACAGAGGAGAAACGCTGCTGAACTTTGGAGTATTTGTCTTCATTAAGCACATGAGTGGCAGGTTAGGTGATCTGATTCTGTGCTGGGTTAAATCATGAACTATAGTATTATAGTAGTAATAATAATAAGTGCCTCTTGTAAAATGCTTGGTGTACTAAGCACTGAGATGAGTACTTTACATACTTTATCTTCGTTAATCTAAATTACCATGCATGAGACAAGTGCTGTTATTTACAGAGAAGAAAACCCACAAAGGAAAAGTTCTGGTAGAAACTTGCCAGGGTCACTAAGCTAGGAAATGGGGAGCCAGGTATATCATACAAAGCAATTTGACCGTCAGAAACCAACCAGAACTACAGTTACCTGGCATTGGGCATACCATGTCATTCTCTGCTTTTTTTTTGAGATGGAGTCTCACTCTGTCACCCAGGCTGGAGTGCAGTGGTGCGATCTCAGCTCACTGCAACTTCCACCTCCCGAGTTCAAGCGATTCTCATGCCTCAGTCTCCTAAGTAGCTGGGATTACAGGCTTGTGCCACCATGCCCAGCTAGTTTTTGTATTTTTAGTAGAGAAAGGGTTTTGCCATGTTGGCCAGACTGGTCTCAAACTCCTGGCCTCAGGTGCTCCACCCACCCCAGCCTCCAAGGGAGCTGGGATTACAGGCGTTAAGCCACCGCGCCCAGCTGTTTAACTATTAATTTGTTTAAAATGTATGCCTCCCTGATAAGTCTGATGTATTAAGTGAAATAATGCATATAAATGCTGACAGTTCTGCCTGATGCATGATATGCCGGTTTTACTAGCTAGTATGGTATATTTCTACTACAGCTCCTTTTATTGGCAGCTGCTCATCTGAAGCTGATTTTTTAGAGCATTTTGATGTTCTTTGAATAGATTAATTTAGATCTGATAAGATGTTATAATTGACTCTAATCCTGATACAATCACCCAAACTAGTATATATATAAGGATATGTGATGTACACAGGATATAATGGTATGTATGTATACACATACAGTTGAACCACGAAAGACAACAGGAGTTGGATCTGTCCCCATGCACAGCTGAGCAGCCATGTGTAACTTTTGATTTCACCCAAATTTAACTACTGGTGAGGGGAAGCCTGACTTATAACATGAAAAGTCAATAAACACATATTTTGTATGCTATGTGTATTATAGACTGTATTCTTACAATAACGTAAGCTAGAGAAAAGAAACTGTTATTAAGAAAATAAGGAGGAGAAAATGTATTTACTATTCATTATCTGGAAATGGATCACCATGAAAGTCTTCATCCTTATTGTCTTCAAACTGAGTAGCCTGAAGAAGAGGAAGGGTCTTAACTGTCTCAGTAGTGGCAGAAGTGGAAGAAAATCCATGAATAAATGAAACATGCAGTTCAAACTCATATGTTTTCAAGGGTTCACTTTATACATATGGGTGTGTGTTTTCTAATTGCTGATGTAAATTATGTACTTAAACCATTGTTATTTTGACCTGTCAAATTTTCTCTTAATCCCTCATTTAGAAGATTTTTTTTGGGAAAAAAAAAAAAAAAAAACGGTACTCTGAAAATAGACTGATTTTTACATCCTTTAAAAATTGATGTATGGGGTGTGAAAATGAAGCCAGATGAAATGAGATCACTTCTTTTTAAAATTAAGCTTTGTCATTGTTTGAACTAGCTATCCTACAACCCCAGCACAGTTTTGAAGCTGGATAGATTCCTAATAGAACTTGAACCCATCAGAGTGTGTATCCTGAAGCTTCGCAAGAATGCATGGACGTTTTGACTTATAAGACATGTATAAATATATCTGTAATTTAGGTTATGTCACTAATTTCTTTCTTACACAAGTTCTATGGTGAGACTGCCAGAGTTTGAATGTTGCTTCACCACTTATTAGCATGTACTCCTATGCAAGTTGTTTAGATTCTCTGCACTTAACTTGCTCACCTGTGAAATGGAGATAATAGTCACCTAAGTAATTAGGGTTGTCATGAGTATTAGTGTTTATGTACCTGCCATGTAGCAATCCTCAATTAATGTTAGCTCCATTAACACAGCTATTATCAAAATCATTATAATTCTCATTTTAAAGTAGTTTACTGAAAACAACTAATAAATTAGTAGACAAATTCTATGTTAAATCTGAAAGGTGTGTTAATATCTCAACATTTTGATTTCCTCATCAGTAAAAAGAAATGATAATACTTGTCCTGGCTGTCTCATTAGATTATTCTAAGAATTCAGTGAAATGCCACTGGTGAAATTGTGTGAAAATTGCTAAATGTTACGTAAACATAAAGCGATATTTATGTTATATTAAAGAATGAACCTGAGATGCTGAAGAAATGTTTCATAGTGGGGTGAGGCAGTCCCTTTTAAGAGAAGCAGGAGGAAGTTTTCATTAGGTCTTGGGTATAGGCAAGTGGAAAGCTGAAAGTCATGCTAAAAATGAGAGAATATCAAAAAGGCATGAACATACTGATATGGCACATTGCTCTCTGACACTTAGGGAATATAAAATGCTTTTTACAAGGAAACATAGTTGAGATAACAAAGATTATAGTTTATAATGGGGAAGAATTTCTTATTTTCTGTATGGCAGATTTTGAATTTCTACTAGTACTTTATCTAATCAGATGATGTAAGATAGATATGTTACTGTGGAGCATTCACCTTTCTGAGATGTGCAAATTAGCTTGGCATACATTGCAAGTCCTGAGAAAAGTACTGGCATAAAATTTCTTATCTACTGAAAAGCATATGAAATATTGTGAGAGTGGAGAGAGAAAAAGAAGATTGAGAGAGAAAGAGAGAGAGAGAGAAAGGGGTAAAGGATGTCAAAGTTTCACATTTGTTGGCTTCTAGCAAAGGAGCAGTATAAAGCAATTTGTGGTTGCCACATTTGAACACATGAAAATAAAATTTTTTTCCAAAAGCAATTTGCTCTATTGATGGTTCCATTTTTACTTTAGTAAATTTTTGAGTAAAACATACTTTTTAATCTTTTCTGACAATCCTTTCTATCTGAAAATCTGATCTGTCAGAAATCATTATGTCAGCCATACACTGTGCCATGTGATATTTTGCATTTATATTGAGTCTTTCAATCAATAAAAAAATATTTTAGAGTGCATTAAGAATCATCTTACAGAGTAGCAAAAGGAAATCCGTTTAAAACTAAGTGGCTTTCGATATTTTACAAGGTGCACTGGAGGAATTTAATACAACCCAACAGAATAGGATTATTGAGTCTGAGACCAAGCAGTATGTTGGAATCTGGGAAGTATGAAGTGTTTAATACTGAAAGATGCCTTAGACATTAACCAGGTCAACATCCCTATTTACAGACGAGAAAACGGAGCCACACAATGGATTAATTCAGTGACTGTATTTGCAAAGTGTGGTTTCTTTAGAATCAGTATAACCTAGGAATACATTAGAAATTCCAATTCTAGGGGCCTATTCCCCAGACCTACTGAAAGTCTGGGATTGGGTCAGCAATCTTTTCTTTTTGAGATGGGGGGTCTGTGTATTTTAAGAAGCACTCAAGTGATTCTGACATGCATGATAGCTTGAGAAGCACTGGACTAGCCTTTCATTTTTCTAACACCTACCCGATGTTTATCACATTGTTGTAATGCTGCTGCTGCTTCTCTTTCAATCAGTCTTAACGCTTTAGAGTTGAGGGGAATAAAAATTAAACTCAATCATGTCCACATATACCAAAATAGTGAGAAAATCAAGGAAATAATTTGTAATACTGCTCTTAAAACACCTTTGTCTGACTCAAGAATTGTTAAATGAAAGTAGCATTCTTAAGATTTAACACTATTATAATTGTCTCATTTCCCTAGTCCACAGAACTGATTAACATACAATTTCTGAGAGATATTTAGGAACACTGCTCTAGCCTCATACTATTTAGAAATAGCCCTAATATTTTGATTAAAATGAGTCAATCCTATATCACTTCACCTGTCTTGCATCCAGATTAACAAAGAACTGCAAAGACTGGTAAACACAGTCGCAGTCATCTTTTGAATTTTCTCCCTTGCCCTGCAAATACAAACACTTAACTACCCTGTAAGCTTATGTATAATACTCTGAATACTTAATAGGTATTTTAAGATGCTAAATATGGAATAAGAATAAATACATATTGTATTTAGTCACTAAAAGTAGATTACTATTATTGAACTCTGAATGATATATAAATTTTCCTTTTGGTTGCTTTAACTGGCTTTACTTAGATTCATTATAATTCTCCCATAAAATAATTGTAATGGGCTTTTGCAAACAAATCAGGTACATGTTTTTCATCAGTGAATTCGAGAAGAAACAATGAGAATCTTCTTTGGAGACAGAGACCAATTTACCATGAAGCTAATAAACCTTAAACTCGGTGCCCTTCCAAAATTCAGTGCCAAATTTTGGACTTGTAATTTTATATTCTTTTTTTGAACAGAGCCTCCCAAATTCTATAAGCTTTAGGCACACCACAAAATCCAGGGAGTGTTAGGTGCTCAGTCAGTGAACAGAAATAATTTACATGTTGAACTAGGTAAGCCTTTCTATTTATGCTCAATGAACATTGAACCAAAATGAGTACCCATGCCGGTTTTAAAGCAGGTACAAATTGTTTCTACGTAAGCACCTTGACAGTTGTGAGTGGTTTTGGATTAGCATTAGACTGGGTTGTCAATCACTTCTCTGGCATTTTTTATTTCCTTTCTCTTGAATAGAGATAGACTAGAAGCACTTAGCAGCTTACTACAGCATTAGACAATGAAGAGTGTGTTCACACACTTAAAAATGTATGTCTCTGAATGTTTCCAAAAAGAGGGCAACTTGACTTTTGGTCAGTTCTGGCCCCAGGAATTCAAAAACACTGCATAAACACTGGAAGTGAAAGCATCTTGATTCAAATCTGAAGTAAATGACAAATGCTTATTAAATAGATATTTCTTTGATTTGTTTGGCTCTCATCTCTGATGTCTTAGAGCAACAGCATAATTCACATTTTAATTTAGTGAAAGCATTTTTTTTCATCCCTGAAAGGAGACAAAAAATGATTCAGTTGTAAATATGACCTAGTTTAAGTAGGTTTGGATGTTATAGTTAATTTCAAAATTCCAAAGGGAAGGGTTGCATGATTGTCATGGTCTTTTTTGTAATCATTTTAAAAGTTGAAATGTTGCCAGCAATGCTTTTAGGTCAGTCAAGGCTAGGGCGGGAGGTATGAAGGAGAAACAAACCATGTCATATCTCTAAATAATAACAGCAGGCAAATGGTAGCACTCAACATTCCAACTCACTCTGATGAGTTAATATATTGAGGCTTTAGATTCAATTGCTCTAGAGTTTTAGACTCATTACCTCTTTTGTCAGTGTTACTGTTAGCTAGTTGTCATCTAGTCTAAGTAAGTAAGTCTCTTTGAACTTCAACTTCTTCAACTATCAAAGATACATAATACCTACTGCAGATTGTGAAAATCAAGTATGTTAAGCTTCTAGGATGGCATCTGGCACATAGTCAATAAATACAAAACAGACTTTATAGCCTTTTCAGTAAATAAATCTGAAGCACATTTTATGTGCATGAGATTACCTGGGGGGAACTAGGTTGAGAATGAAAGCACCTCTTGCCTATATGTGTCTATATCTGGGTAACAAAAGACTAGATCTTTTGCTGAAATCATTGAAGGAGTAAATGCTGAGAGCGGGAGAGACAAGTAACTGCCAGGCTCTTCCTGTGAAGTTTTGATAACATTACAGATGATACAGTCACTCACAAGGAATTGGTTGTACTTTGTCTTGATACTCTAAAAGCTGGTAGCTTGTTAAATTTTCTGCCACTCATGGCTATGAGTGAGAGCTGAGTTCCCAAGGGAGCCCTATATACAATGATGCTTGTGGTACTGAGAAACGAACCTGGGTTCCAGAAGTTTATTAATGCATTTTTTCAAAGTGATAAGAGGGATCACAATTTAAGATTATAGTATTTGTCATCACCTTCTCTCTGCACTTTTCTTTACTCTCATTCAATAAGAAGCTGGCTTTTGGTTAGGCCTCTCCAGATGGTAATATACTAGCTTAAGATTCCAGTAAAACCAACACCACACTGCAATTTGAGGTGTGCTCCATGGCTCTACAAATGTTCCGTTTTCATTTTTCAGTTGCTCAACAGTTTGCTAGAATAACTGAGATCTCTACCACAGAAATTGCTTCTTGGATTGAGATATTCTTTCCAGAATGCCACAGAAGTTTTATATTTTACCTGGGGTAGTTTAACTTCATCAAGGGACAACTTGATTCTTCTTTTTCTAGATGTATATAACTCATTATGATTAGTTCCTTTTATCCTTGGCTACCAGGAAAACGATGGTAAATTGAATATATAAAAACTATCTAGATTATAATCGATAAGCATATGTAATCATGTACAACTGCCCCACTTTTTCTACATGAGCCCACTCATGGCTTCAACACTGTTTTTAAATCTAGGACTTTTCTTCAACTCCTGAGGACCTGCACAGCTTTGAGAGTGGAGCCATTTTGGAGACCTATAATAAATTAATTCTAATACACTAGTCATAAGAACAATTTAAAAAAATAGATATGTGGAAATTTTAGAGTTAAATATGAAATTAATCAGTAACTTTTTTTTTTATTATTTTTTTTGAGATGGAGTTTCACTCTTGTTGCCCAGGCTAGAGTGCAGTGGCGCAATCTTGGCTCACTGCACCCTCCAACTCCTGGGTTCAAGTGATTCTCCTGCCTCAGCCTCCTGAGTAGCTAGGATTACAGGCATGCACCACTATGCCTGGCTAATTTTTGTATTTTTAGTAGAGACTGTGTTTCACCATGTTGGTCAGGCTGGTTTCAAACTCCTGACCTTGTGATCCGCCTACCTCAGCCTCCCAAAGTGCTGGAATTACAGGTGTGAGCTGCTGCACCTGGCCATTAATCAGTAACTTTTTATTAAATTTGGATTTAAATTTAAAAGTTTTAAAGATTATATACAAATAATATATCTTTATTGTTATAAAAATAATACAATAAAAAAATACAAACATACTATAGCAATTAATATTCAGTTAGGTCTTACTATGTGCCAGGAACTTGGCTAAGATATTACATCATGAGGTAGGCTTTGTTTTTCCCATATCACAGGTAATAAAATGGCAGCTTCAAGATGTGAAGTAACTTGCCAATGGTCATGCACTTTCTAAGTAGTGAAGTTGGAATTTGAAGTTAGGCACCCTGATTACAGGGTTGTAATTCTCAACCACTATATTTTACAAATCCTATCCAAGTTTATAAATCTTTATTAAAACAGTTATGTATATGAGTATGCATATGCCCATACATGTATATTGACATAAAATTTTATATAATGATGTCTTACTTTGTGTGTTATGTCCATTACCTTTTGTTCAACAATGTGTCATGGGCCTCCCCCTCTATAAAAAAGGATTGATATACATAATATTATATTCTATATCTCAAAAATAGCAGGGCCCTTATGATGAATATGTGTTATATCCTATTTCATAGAGAGATATAGATAATTTCCCTAGAATATCCTTTTACACATCCTTTATAAAATGATGATTTGTTTCCTTGGGGTAAATCCTAATAATGGTAATAGTGGGGACAAAGGACATACCCATTTTATATTGTAATATTTCCATCTAAGCAATCAAACAGGAAGGCTTTGCAAATTTATCCTCCCAGCAACAAGGTAAGAGAGCAGTATCCCATTCCTAAGTGTTATTTTCAAAATTAGATTATATCATATTTTTTAAACTTTGCTAACTGTAATTCTTTGAGGATGGAATTATTTTCTTTTCTAAAAACTTAATCCCAAATATGATTATAATTTTTTTCATTTTCGATTATCATTTGTGCCTACTTGGGGAATTAGTGAACTTGTGCTTTTAAAATAGCCTTATGATCCAAATAAATATTTTTACAAGCTTAAACTCTTTGACTCTTATAATATTATCAAAATGTATAATACCTTTCTGTTTCACTTACGTTGCTCACTTCAAAATCTAATGCTTTAAAAAAAAATAGAACTATCATACTTGGATCTATAAAGTTTACTATCAAAAAGTTTAAGGTAATCACTTAACATTTCTGAGATGGATTAAAATGCTGCAATACTGTGTGGCTTCATATTGCTGTAAAAGTCACGTTATCTAAAAGCTTTTCCTGGAGGACTTTTTGGTGAGATAAATATTTTTGGTACATTGTTTCCCATAAAGCAATATATTCCAAATGTGTTGACATAATACACTTTCATCGTGTCAGTCAATCTGCTGACCTGAAAAATGTATAAAGCAAAAATATTTTCCATGTAGTATTACCATAAAAAGTAGTACCTCACTAGTGTTTTTAGTCAAAACACAAATGTGAAGACCTACTAAATTTCAAATCAACCATACTACTCTATTTTGACATTTTTAAATAATACTAATGTTGTGTAGTCTTCTTACAATTATGTCCATTTCCTTTCTGCCTGTGTGAAAATCTTAAATGTGGTATTCCTATCGAAATGCTGACTAGTAAAAAGAAATAGGCACAGTATTGAAATTTCATCATGAGAGAGGATATAGATGAGCAGTTTTGAATCTTTCCATTTGCTATCACTTTTACCACTTACAAGTCAATTTTGTGAATCAATGAGGTTTATAAAATAAATATCTTGATATTATAAGATGTTTACCAACTTACACTATCCTATAAACAAAAGCATTCAAAACCTGAAACAGCTGACTTCTTGGAGTTTTGTTTTGGTTGCCTGCATTTTAGTTTTGATTGCCTGTATTTCTTCTAGTTTCATATCCTGTTTACATTTGTCTAAGCTACTTTACATCATTGGTTACTTGCTTAGTCCCTCTCCTGTGGTATTTCCATGCTTCCTGGAATATCGTTCATTCAATAGATTCAATTGACAGCAATTTTTTAAGCTTTGGTTCAGTAACAGAGGTACTAATCACCTGGAAGTTGTTTCTGTGACTAGTAGGCCACCTGGGACTTGTCCTATCATTTATTACTTTTGTACTACACATTGTGGAATCTTAATTGTATATTATATTCCTTTGACAGATTTGTTGTTCATTAGGATTCTCTGACCATGTTCATTTTCAGGATATAAAAACAGCCCAGGGGCTTGTATATTATGCAACTATGCTTTTTCTAAATTAGCTCACTGGAGATAGAATCACAACTATTATTTTACTACTTTACTATTTTGAACTTAATTCAGCCTGCAGTTATGTAGCTGGCAAGATTTACGTTGGTTGGAAGATACAGTTGATTTTTACCTTACATGGTAGTGTATCTAATTGTCATATGTAAAATATTTTATAGATAAAATCATGTTTCTGTATAGGAGAGTACACAGAAAGAATACAGCACAGTAATAAACTATTCTGTAATCTGAACATTTGTAAGTTCAAGAGTGCTTTTTCAAACTGAGTTCAAAGAGAGCCAGAATTAGAGTTAAAAAGATATGGGCTTTAAAGTCAGATGACATTTATTAAAATTCTAGCTCCATTATATGAATTTAGGCAATTTATTGACTTCTCTGAATGTATTCCGAGTCAAATTCTCTGTCTGTGAAATATTAATCATGTTAAAAGTTGTTTATTATTTCAGACTTGAATTCCACTACTCATCATTGTTTAGTCTTCTCTATTCACCGAATGAAAGCACCATCTGCTATATTGCTCAGACCTAGACCACAGATTTTTCCTTCATTCCTGTTTTTACTCTAAAAGCATGAAACCCATTAGTAGGTCCTATCTGCTTTTCTACCAAAACACATTCACAATGCATTCACTTTTCTCTGTCTACACTTCTCTATCTAGAACATAGTGCAGAGAGTATGCCATTTACCTTGGTCTTTAGTGGCTTAAAATTTCATGAGCAAATGTCAGGATAATTTTGAAATAATTACTGGAAAAGTGCTAACTAAGGCAGAAAGTCATTTTAATGTGCATAGGATGAATTATACCTCAGGTGCCTTTAAGGTTTGCATATATACCATAATGGAGCAGAGACAGTATTGAAAGTTTCATTTTTCATAGGATTAATTCACAATATTTAATAGTATCACATATTGTATAACATGGGAACTTTTTCTCACTCTTGTTAGAATTGAGAATCAATTCTGTGGAGTTAAGGCTTTGCAGATCTCTTGATGGGGTATAAATTAGAGTAAGAGCCAGAATTCCACAGAGCATAATCTATCTCTAGCACTTACAGCACTTAATCAGACATTTGTAGTCAAATTACTTCCATTTACTTATTTTTCCACTCACAAGTAACATTTTCCAGGTATTTTTGGAGAATTAATTAGTTTCCATTAATTAATTTGTTTCTACTATAGCTTTAATAACTCTGTTGAACCTCAGGGTAACTCATTGTAATGGTGTGGATGTAACTTGCCAAATGCAATGCAATAGCCTTTTGTTTGAACAGAATTCTTCTGTCAGTGTCAGCCAATTAACTAAAGTGATTTTTAAATGTCTACCTTATGACCCACTTTGTGCCAGGACCCTGAGGGACTCTAAGAGTAGACTACTAGGTTCCTAGCTTCAAAAATTAAAATCTAGTTGGGAAGAAAAGAACAACTTTCAAAATCATCTAAAAGGAATATAATATATAATTAAGATTCCACAATGTGTAGTGCAAAAGTAATAAATGATAGGACAAGTCCCAGGGTAGCTGATGCCAAAGTTCAACAGAGTTCCATTCTCATAGTACAACTTATTAAGTAGAAAGTTACTTACATGTTTTTCATCCTGCGTGACCTTGTGCTCTTAGTTGTCAACATTTATAGTGTCTAGGGGGAAAGCAGAAGGGGCAGAGAGAGAAACAATGAAATGAATTGTTTCTGACTACCTAATAAATTTCAGTTACTTATGTCTACGTGTTTTCTCATTTAATTTTAATAATTATCTGGCAAAGTAGGTTTATTTGTGCACATTTTACAGTTCAGAAAATTGAGGCTCAGAGAAGGGAAAAACTTGCACTAGATAGTTAGGAAGACTTAGGCTTCCCTTTACCAAGCTAATTTCTTTCTGCAGCATCAAATAACCTACTGGTTAAAATAAACAAACAAAACACTGTAACAGCTATTAAATACAAAGAGGAATTATTGTAAGTGTTTTGAAAGAATTTGATCAGTTTCTTTTCATTAGTTTCCTTTATGATTTACTCCAATAAGTTTAAGAATAACAAGTGATAGAATGGATCTTTTTTTTTTAATTGTACTTTAGGTTCTGGGGTACATGTGCAGATGATGCAGGACTGTTGCATAGGTACACACATGGCAATGTGGTTTGCTGCCTCCATGCCCCCCATCACCTACATCTGGTATTTCTCCTCATATTATCCCTCCCGGACTTCCCCACCCTCCTCCGCTGTCCCTCCCTTGCCCCCCCCCAACAGACCCCAGTGTATGATTCTCCCCTCCCTGTGTCCATGTGTTCTCATTGTTCAACACCCACCTATGAGTGAGAACATGCAATGTTTGATTTTCTGTTCTTATGTCAGTTTGCTGAGAATGATGGTTTCCAGATTCATCCATGTCCCTACAAAGGACACAAACTCATCATTTCTTATGGCTGCAGTATTCCATGGTGCATATGTGCCACATTTTCCTTGTCCAGTCTATATCATCGATGGGCATTTGGGTTGGTTCCAGGTCTTTGCTATTGTAAACAGTGTTGCTATGAACATATATGTGCATGTGTCCTTATATTAGAATGATTTGTAATCCTTTGGATATATACCCAGTAATGGGGTTGCTGGGTCAAATGGTATTTCTATTTCTAGGTCCTTGAGGAAGCACCACACTGTCTTCCACAATGGTTGAACTAATTTACACTCCCATCAACAGTGTAAAAGGGTTGGATTTCTCCACATCCTCTCCAGCATCTGTTGTCTCCAGATTTTTTAATGATCACCATTCTAACTGGCGTGAGATGGTATCTCAATGTGGTTTCGATTTGCATTTCTCTAATAATCAGTGATGATGAGCATTTTTTCATAGGTTTATTGGCCTCATATATGTCTTCTTGTTAGCAAAATGCAAGATAAAATTATCATGCAGTATCATTCAATAGGACTCCTGGTCTCTTCTGCCAAGAAATTAATAAATGAACAGGTGACAAAGACAAGCATAAATAATTATAAAACACGAAGTATCAACAGTAAAATTTGAGTGAATCTTCTTTTTCTGTGACTACTGTCTTCTTCATTATCATTTAAATTCATTCTCAAAAGGGTAGTTTTATCAAGGAAAATAAAGTTGGAAAGATAGAGTAGGATCATGCTCCTTTGCATAATTTAATAAATAATATTAATATTTCAAGGCTAATTCAGGTTGCTAAAATATTTTGGTGAATTTACACAATATTCCAATAAGAATATGTTTCCCATATGATGTTACACTTTCTCAAAAAGTAACAACTTGGTGCATTATTTTATTCATTCAAAACTAATGTTCTTAGTTTTAATACTACCTACAGATGACTTAAGGTTATCTAAGAAAGCTTTATAACATAAATATGTGCCCACTGTCTGGGAATTCCTGGAGCTTTCTCAAAGTACTTAAAACAGAACTACCATTCAACCCAGCAATTCTATCACTGGGTATATATCCGAAAGAAAACAAATCAGTCAACCAAAAAGGCACATGCACTTTTATGTTCATCATAGCACTATTCACAACAGCAAACACGTGGAAATAACCTAGGAGCCCAGTGGAGAAAGAAAATGTGGTTATACACCATGGAATACGACACAACTATAAGAAGGAGTGAAATCATGTGCTTTGCAGCAACATGGATGGAGCTGAGGCCCATAATCCTGAGCAAATTAACACAAGAACCGGAAACCAAATACCGCATGTTTTCACATATAAGTGGGAGATGAACATGGGTAACATGGCCATAAAGATGAGAACACTAGACACCCGGAACTAGTAGAGTGGGGAGGGTGGGAAAGAGGACAAGGTCCAAAAACTATCTATTGGGTCCTATGCTTACTACCTGGGTGACAGGATCAATCATACCCCAAACGTCAGTATTACACAATATATCCATATAACAAACCTGCACATATACCCTGTGAATTGAAAATAAAAGTTGAATTTATAATTTTTAAAAAAAGGTAAAGGAAAAGACAGATGGTGTTTGCATGGTGGAAGCCTTGAATTCCAAGATAGGAAAACATTCAACTTTAATTTGTTAGGCTATAGGGAACCACTGAAGGTTTACAGACATATTACAGACTCAAACTATAGTTTTGAAGATTTAGGCTAAAAATGATTGCAGATGGATTAGCATTGGAAGAAACGAACTTGTACATACTGTACTATTGCAGGAAAAATGTAGTTGGATGGTAGAATGAGGATAAAAGGGAGCAACTGATATGAGGTATTTTCTGATGTGTTGTTTTAAGGCCTAAAATGGTCGCATTCTGTAAATTTTCAGTTATGTGTGCATATGTGTTTGTGCATTTCCTCCAAAGACAGAATTTCCTTTTGTTCTCTCCTCATTTTATTAAACTTTCTTAAAATGTTAGCCTCCTTTAGCTAAGCCAAGGCTTCCCCAAAAAAGTAGTTCTATCCATGCTTAGGTTAGAGTTGTAAATGTTAAAAGTAGCCCTGTTTAAAAATTTCTGAGCATGAATTTACAAAGTAAGTTTTTTACTGATGACAGAGAGTATCTGCGCGATTTTTCCTACTGTCTGATATCCAAATATGTTCACATTTTTAGCCAATTCAAATAGTAGCAACTGAAAGAAGAGATAGCTGATATATATTCCTAATCTTAGAGGAAGTCAACATATTTAAACTTCTTGCAGCTGTTTTCTGGCATGAGAAAAAGGATGTATACGTATTCCTGACTTATATTATTCATGTTTCATGATAGACTAAGCATTTCTCAAGAGAAATATAGTGATTTAAGTGTGGCATATTTTATAAATACAAATATGAGAGTCATTCTCTGATTGATTCACAAACCTGTACTCAAACCTCGCTAAAAATGGGTCTCAATGTGTCCTTTAATATTCACTTATTAAGCCTTTTTCTGGAACAACATGTTCAGACAGGCCTCATCTTTTGGTCATCTGAGAAATGTAGGAACTGGCTCCTTCTAGTTGGAAGACTTCTGAAACTTAAATCTATTTCTAAATACTCACAGACCATCTTTCTTTCCAGAGAAAATAATAATAGCAATAGTAATAAGGGAAGAATAAAACTGCAGAAAGGGAATTTTTTCCTAAAGCAAAGCTGTAATGAATAGCAGCAGTTTGATTCTTCCTTAAGGTTTATTTGCATAGTTTGAGAAAAGTAAATTACCCATGTCAAACACTGAACGAATCTTCATTCTGTGTCAGGATTTTAACTCCTACCTGAAGCTAAGTGTACATTACAGTGAGTCCATAGAGAGCCTATGTTTTTAAGTTAATCTTTACCTTAAATTAAAAGATGAAGTGGAAAGGTTTAAAGCAGTTCCCTCTGCTATTGAATTCCAATACATTAATATCTAAAAATTAAGTACAGTATTTGTATGGTGTTACTTTAGTATTAAATATTGTATAGCTTCGGGTAGTAGGATTACTCTCATAGAGCAAATTTACACATATATAGCTTGATTTTCATTTAAATACCAATCCACTGGCAGCATAGTACAAGAGAAATAGTTTTAAAGTAAGTTGGATCTGCTAATCCTAGCTCCAGAAACTTTGGGTTTGACCTAGACAAGTTTCAAAGTATCTCTGAGCCTCAATCTTCTCATCTTAAAATGGGAATAATAAATACCTACTTCAGAGAATGATGTTTTGGGATGATTTGAGATGTAATGGGCATACTAAGAGATTACTCATAAACTGTTCATATTTTTCTATACCATACAAAACATATATGAATTCAAACAGACCCAGAACCTTCACTTTATTCCCTTGTATATCATTGTTGCTCAGCCATACTTTCCCCAAAGTAACCAATCATTAGGAAGTGAAAGCGAATGATTCAGAGATGCTGATGGAAGTAAGTGCAAAGCTCATTGGCCAAATCCTGGAGGGAGTGTCTCTTGACAAACTTATCAGAGATTAGAACATCCTCATTCATTTAAACCAGCAAACATATTTTGAATCCTAATGTATATTAGCCATTGCCCCAGCCATTGAGTATACAGTGCACATTTTTTTTTTTTTTTTTTAGCATCACACCTTGGTTTTGGCACCTCTTAGAAACGACTATCATCCATATCTTTGACATGATCTTATCAGTTTCATTTGTTCCTTTGGATAAAAACACCTAAAGTCTTTTATTCTAGAACAGAGATTTGGAAATTTAAATATAAAAATTGCCTGCAGTTTTAAATGCAATTTCCTGAGCCCCATCTCTAGAAATGAAAACTCAAAGTCTGAGGTAGGCCTTACAACTATCTGCTCAATAGATTTTGATCAACAAGCTAGTGAGTATACAGCTGTATTTCTCAGTTTCACTCAGGATGTTTACAACCAAAGTATTCATATATTAATGGACTTTGCCATTTTTAACAAGAAGAACTTGTCGAAAACAGTAAAGAACTAGGAGGTGATTTCTTCTTAGAAGAAGACAAATTCTGGTTATAATCAAATTTCCAAATGAACGTATTTTATTGTTTGGTTGAAATACACCAATCTATGACTAGAAAATTAACTGAGGGTTGAGACTCCAGTGATATAGTTGGTTATTAAGAGGATAATCCAACAGGTTCTGTGTGTGTGTGTGTTCCATGTGAACCACAATTAAACAAATATAGCTTGAGCTTTCAGTCAAAAGGCTAGGAGAACTATAACATCAGTTACAGTAATTGTCTTTTGATGGTAGACCAGAACAGTTACTTCCCTTTGTTATCAATAATTCTGTGAATATTTTAAATCTATAAAAGTTTTGGATATATACCAAATAAAATTGTATGCAGCTATTTTTGTGGAGAAGGTTATATATGTTAGGTGTGAACTTAATATGAATGAATACATCTAGATGAGCTGTAGTTTTGTCTTGAAACCATTCCCTGTGATTAGACAGGCTATAAGGGAATTCTGTAATATTTTGTTGCTGAGTTGCTAACTGGATATTCATGAACTAGGTGCCCTATCAACTATTCAGTCAACTGTTGTGTTAACTAGCTGCTATGTACTTTGCTAGCTTCTGCCAATGGAGACTACAAGACAAACAAGGGGAAAGAACCTCTCATGTGAGTATAGTTTCACAGCAAAAAGTTTGGGTAGGCCGGTCGCGGTGGCTCACACCTCTAATCCCAGCACTTTGGGAAGCCAAGGTGGGTGGATCACAAGGTCAGGAGATTGAGACCGTCCTTGCTAACATGGTGAAACCCCATGTCTACTAAAAATACAAAAATTAACCAAGAATGGTAGCACACTTCTGTAGCCCCTGCTACTCAGGAGGGTGAGGCAGGAGAAGGGTTTAAATCTGGAAAGTGGAGGTTGCAGTGAGCCGAGATCACTCCACTGCACTCCACCCTGGCAAAAAAGGAAGACTCCATCTCAAAAAAAAAAAAAAAAAAAAAAAAAAAAAAAAAAAAGTTAACACATTTTATTTTACCTAATGAAAATAATAATACAATACTTTATTCTATGTGACTTATAATATAAAATGGGTATTTACCAGGCTACCCATCTTCCCTTTCATTTTCCTTTTGGAAATACCTTTGTGTGTTCAAGTGCAAAACTTGTAACAAAGTCGAAAAATCAAAATGAAGTTTCAGTGGTAAAAGTGACATTATTCACTATAAGATGATAAAATTAATTCTAGTAGAACTTAAAGTTACCATATTTTAATTAGAGAAAGAAATTTCTCGCTAGTAAGAACACTGTAGAGTTGTGAGATGTACTAAGAAATAATCAGAAATGGAAGCAGTCAATTACTGTGATGAATAGAAGATCATTGAGGAGAGATTTAGGTGCAGTCTGCTTACTGTTGGGAGAAAGTATGTTAGATAAATTCACAAGGTCATTAAGAGCTCTGTGTGTATGTGTTTAACAAGCAGAACTTGTCAAAAACAAGATTTTTTTCCTGTTCAATGATAGTCAGACCAACATAGTTGTGACTGATTTTGAGAAATTATTTCATTGTCAGCATCTGTCACAAACATATCCAAGAAGTCAAAAGTTGTAGATCCAGATTTTAGTTGGAGAGCAGAAAAGCACTAGTTAGCAATGAGCTTTCCTTCTTTGTCCTCCTATTTCACAAATGAAGAAACTGAGTCTTGGAGAGGCTAACCCCCCATAACCATTTGGAGAATAGGTGGCATATGGGGAACTAGAATCAAAATGCTGGGTCCCTGTGGCTAATTTTCTTTCCCCACTGTATGCCATCTATTGTGGAATCATAAGTCATATAAAGAGGATATTAATGTTCTTTTTACTTTCATGTATTCCCCAAACATTTAGATCATAAAAAGAATATTTTACTCCAGTGAAGAAAATTATTCTGTCACCAAGAAAAAAAAGGTTCCTTTTTCTACGCAAAGATTTCCTTGCCAAAAACTAATTGCTTAGCATAAAAATGCTGCACTTTTTTCATGCATTAGTAAAATCAATTCTCCCCACTATAATACTGCTCAGCCATTGTGTCTGTCAGCACTCTACGTGCAACGCTGAAATCTAAAGCTGTGTCACTAGACACAAAGGTTTATAAAGCTTGGCCATGTGTGTTAATTTCAGGGTTGATTTTGCAGTTTGTGAGCTGTCTAGGCACTGCACTTCTGTTCTTCTGTAACCCACCATTTAAATATGAGGGGGGCGGGGTTGTATTGGAACCTCAATAAAACTTAGAAAAGGAAATCAGGTGCCTTTGTTCATTTCTTCAAAATGTTATTGAACACTTAGTTGTGTTAAACATTGGTAGGTACCAAGAATGTGGAAAACCTGCCATTGACAGACCTGAGACAAGTGACAGTTAGGGAATGTCCTGGACATTTTGTAAATTCAGATGGTAAATAGTTTGACAAAGGCAAACACAGCAGGGGTGTTGCTGAAGCACATATAAGGAAGGGTAGAAACAAATTGCCTGAGCTGGATTGAAGAATAGGTAAGAGTCAGTTAGGAAAAGTAGTGTGTGTGTGTGCGTGTGTGTGTGTGTGTGTGTGTGTGTGCACGTGCGCATGCACACATGTCTATGAAAGGAAGAAACATTTTGTCATATTAAAGTTCTAAGAAAACACATTTAGAGACAAAATCTATAATCCTGTGTCAAATGTAAAATTGTTGGTAGCTATATGATCTCTATTCATGGAGATCAAATAAGGTTCTACATTATCACAGATCAAACCACCTTACCTCTTAAAATGTATCAAAAATTTAAGATCAATTCTGTCATTAGCAAAATAAAAATTATTTTAAATAGCACGTTTGAAAGATTTGACTTTTGATTTTGAGGATTTTCCTCATAGATATCTATTCAATTAGTAAATATTATCTAAGAAGTGACTGGTTTGGATAATTTGTTAGAAACGGAGAAACAGAAGAGAAGTTGAGACCAGCACTGCAGAAAGTGTTCAGTCGAACTGACAAGATACAGCTGGCACCTAGCAACTAAGAATGTGCTGCATTAAAATATCCAAACTGGAATGAAGGCTGAGGGGGTAGTTAAAAAAGTACCTTCAGTAAAAACTCATCTGAAATCATCTTTGATTCCCATTTAAATATTTATATAGATGCACAGTTCCACCTATAGTCTGATTTTTAATTAGATAAAAAAAGAGATCCATAATCTCTACTTAAGAAAAACATTTCTGATTTTGTAATTAAGAAGCCCCGTAATTAAATATGCCCAGAGAATTGTATAAGATTGCATCATATTGGGTCAGGTACATGCTTTCATTTCACACGTAAGTGCCCCTTTTAAGAGCATAAGCAAATTAAAAAACAGCAACCCAACAACCTCTATTCCCCTTGTTGTGGGGGGTGGGGGGAACACATTCCAGTACAACGTCTAATTTGCCTTGCTAATTCTAATTAGTATAGTATGAGCTGCTGGACAGTTTTACCAGGAGGATAGTCTGCAAAGAAGCATATTTCTTTAGCTGCACACTCTTGGGAAAGAACTCAAACTGGGAAACATTGAATAGAGACTTTTTCTCATTTGATTGAAGGTTACAGATGAAATAAAATAACGTTCGAGGAAATCCCAAGAGGCTGCCCTTTCCTCTATTCAGAATTGCTGAAAAGATTGAATGATAAGATGAAAGTGAAGTAAAGCCTCCAGACCATTGCCTTTGAATGGTTTGGTGAGTTGTTACAATTAAAGAAACACATGTTTACTCCTGCCACAATGCATGACTGGGATCTACTAGTATTCTACTTGCTTCTGGGTGTTTAATTTCATTTCTAACACTAGAAAGTACAAACTTTGTGATTGCTTGTGCTGACTTCCATAGTTCAGATATACTAACTGCATCAGACTCCCATAATCAATGCTTGCCTATTGATAAGAGGCCCATCTCCTTCCTGCCATGATTATTGATCAGGGTCTTGTGAGAGGATTCCATGGCCTTTGCCTGTCCCAAGGACTAGCCAAGAACAGCAGGCACCACACATTCACAAATAGATCCAGGGTACCTTCTCTTTTCCTTCCCATTTTGAGTTTTAGTCTAAATATAAATTATTGGCTAATCAGTGCACATTCTGGCATTCTAGGGGCTCAGTATCATTGTTTTTATTTTGAAAAGAGAACTTTTATTTTGTAATTTTGACTGAGGTCCAACTCAAATATTCTAATTAGTTTGTATTTTATGTCTCATGAAGGAAACACAGAGAATGATTCTGATAATCCTCATAAGTATTGACTAGTAAATTACAAATAGGACCTTCAGTTTTAGATACACTACTTAAAAGGGGAACAGTTCTTTTTGTTCTAAAGTGAGATGGCTTTGCTCCTCATTTAATCTTAATGGTTTCTGATTTAATTTTAAGTCATCACTATCAACATAAAAGACAGATTTTGATATCAACATTATGCACATCAGATTAGTATATTGTGCATTTGCTTTTTCAGAAAATAATTGTTTTAGCATAATGAAGTATAAGAATCATTTAAATAAAAGAATGCCATAGTTCCATTTGGAGATCTCTTCTAAAGTAGTTTATTCTATTTTGCTTTTGCAGTATCACTAAAGTGCCCTATACATAGTACTTTGAAGCTTATTGAAAACACATTTCTCATATACAAAGTATATTGTCTTCGAGAGAAATGCTGGTTTCCTTTAAGAAGGTAAATACCCTATGTTGAGGGGAAAAAAAAAAACTAGACCTAATTTTAAGTTCCAATTAATAACTAATTGTTGGTTATTAAGTATTTGCTTTCTTATTAGACTTTGCCAATTCCAGCAACTGGTTTACCTTAACCTTCTGTTCATCATAGCCAGTACTGATTATGAAACTAACTGGTGTTGAGTGTAGGCTCTCAAACTGTTCATTGAGTGGATTTGTAAGAGGGCTCTGACATCTCCATTTTTAACAAACATCTCAAATTATTCAAATGCAGATGGTCAGGGAGCCGTCTTTGAAAAATACTACTCAACATGGTAAAGGCATCAGAGTCTACCAATTTATTTAAATTTAGGTTAAACAAGGTAAATTAGAGTGGTATCATAAGTTACTAGAAAAACATGGCGCCAAAAGAAAGGCAGTTTATTTTTTTCCTTTTTTGAGATGGAATCTTGGTCTGTCACCCAGGCTGGAGTGCAATGATGCCATCTCAGCTCACTGAAACCTGTAATTCCCAGGTTCAAGTGATTCTCCTGCCTCAGCATCCAGAGTAGCTGGGATTACAGGCATCTGACACCATGCCTGGCTAATTTTTATATTTTTAGTTGAAATGGGGTTCCACCATGTTGGCCAGGCTGGTCTTGAACTCCTGACTTCAGGCAATCCACCTGTCTCAGCCTCCCAAAGTGCAGGTATTATAGGCATGAGTCAGTGCCTGGCCCCCCTCTTTAAGAGTTGAGGTCTTACTCTATTGACGAGGCTGTGGTACAGTAGTGTAATCATAGCTCACTGCAGTCTCAAACTCCTGGGCTCAAGTGATCCTCCCTCTCAGCCTCCCAAGGAGGTAGGACTAGAGGTATTTGCCACCATGCCCATCTAATTTTTTAATTTCATAGAAATGGAGTCTTATATATTGCCCAGGCTGATCTTGAACTCCTGGCTGCAAGTCATCTTCCCACCTCAGCCTCTGAAAGCACAGGAATTACAGACTTGAGGCACCATGCCCAGCCAAGGCAATGTCATCACAAAATACCCGTAAATCCTAAGACATTTGATCATGTTCTGTAGGTAGCTACAAAGTCTAGAAACAGTTGAATATACATAATAAATGGTTTGCTAATATTACATCACAACAAATGTTATATTCAATATGTTGT